TTTTTGTTTAGGAAAATTTAAAATTTCTCTAAGGAAAAGTTAAAATTTTAATTTGGTCTAGGACAAAGTAAAATTTCATCTTTTCCTAGATTTTTTCAAGGAAAAGTTACAATTTTAATTTCGCCTAGGAGAAAATAAAATTTTAATTTTTTCTGAATTTTAATTTCTCCTACGACATATACATTCAATGTAGTCTCATCGATGTTCATGATTTCTCTTTTTATTTTGTTCACTATATAATTCTTATAATCATAAAATGACACGTACCTGTAATATCGCTCATATGGCCACCAACAACTAGTAATCGAAAATCAACAGATCGATATTGACTGGCAACGTGTTTTGATGTGTGTGTCTCTTGGATATGATCACGATAATATATCTCATCTCCGGCCTAGGACAACCAAAATATCATAAATTTCACATTCATCAACTAACATAAAAATTAGCTTAATAGTTTATAATTCTTGTTGTCTCAAATCTATTTTTATGAAGACATTAGAAGATACAATAAATTTTACAGAAAAAAAATATATATTAGTGATTTTCTTTTCATTTTGACATATACGGTGTTTCTTTTTTAATAGAAAATTATCACATGAACTTAAATTAATTTGAGGGCAATGGATGGAAAAGTAATTATCGATTAAGACGAAATATTCGATTTAAAAATTATAATATTTCATAAGAAATTAATTAATAACAATTCATTCGTTCAATTTTGCCAATTGATACCATTGAAAACGAAAACATCGAATAGATAGTTGTCATTATCTTAATTCAATCTTCAGTCAAAACTTGACTATTACAAAAAGAATATATTATTTACTCTTTTATCAAAATGAAACAGAATTATTGATAATATTTTTCATTCATAATGATAATAATAATAATATTGCAACAACAATGTGTGAGATCGAAATCAAATCAAATAATATATGATCATGACGTATGTATAATGTTTAAAATGAATTTTATTTCATCTTCATTTGATTTATACACCTTTTTTTTCCTACTTCTCTCGATTTCTTACAAAATGTTGACGAATGATGATGATTTTAGTCCATGACATTTTTTTTCTGTTGAAAACATACATGTGAGAGAACGAGGTGTAAAAGGGCAAATGAAAGACTGTCGAACTAAGCAAGAAAAGATATAGAAGAAGAAAAAAAATCGTAGAAAATGTTTTACTTCTAGGACTGTGAGTAGATAACATTTTCGAAATAAACTTTTTCTTTTTTTTCCACAAAAAAATGAATAGTCAACAATGTATCAATATTTAGGAGAAAAAACAAAGAGATATGGAAACATGTACCTTTTTTAAGTTCTACTTATGATTTGTAATCTAAAACATCTTTAACTTATTGTATTATTATTTTCAATTAGCATTAGGCAAAAACAATTAAAAAATTTGAATAAAAATATATATAATGAATTATTGTAGAAAAAAATAGAATGACTATAATATGATGCTAAGTTTATTGTATGTATGACCATGATAATGGATTGATGAAAGAAATCAAATGTGCCGATGATATGGTGTATTCCCTATTGGTCGACAGGCTCTTAATTGTTCTTAATTGTCGACACTGGTTTTTTCCCGAACGGTCGACACACTGTTTAATCCCGATATGTCGACAGTTTTTTTTTCTCCACTTGTCGACAGTTTATTTTTCCTGAAAAGCCGACACACCTGGATCAAAGGCTACCAACAATTCCTTAATTGTCGACACTTTTTCTTTTGTAATTAACCTTATGCATATACATGAGTAGAAAAATAGTAGTATAGTTCACAGAAAACTTTACAGAGCTATTGTTGGTTCATCTGTTATTGATATTTTCTTATGCTTTTTACCAATTGTTTTACTAATTTTTGATAGATAATCATCCTTAGTTAATGTGCCTTTTTTTATAACGTTCCATTAAATCCAAAATCCGTGCATTTCTGATTACATAAATTTTCCGCCGTGGTACTTTTCTTTGTTAGGCCGCAGCTTGCTTCACACTTGTTATATTGAATGCGTAGTCATTTTTTATTTCTTTAATGAATAAATATAAATTTGGATGGATGACACCAATTTGTGAGTTTAGCCGATGATGCCATCCTTCAACTGAATTGTTCGTTCTGGCGCCAGGAAAATCGTAATAATTCCAGAGCGTTTTCTCGAACATTGACTGCTCATTATCGATCCATGTCTCTGTGACATAATCATAGAATGAAGTAATATTCACTATATGTGAATAATCATCCGTTATTAAAACATGGTTCTCCTTTCTGTGTTTCGATAACTGAGTACATTTTATTGTATTACTTATTAATTTTAACTCGTTTCAATACTTTATAGTCAGATAATGTGCAAAGTCGAAGAAAATTTACTATAGTTATTATAGCCCCTATGGCCAAGTCACTTAGTGCACTGTTCAGTTTATAAATTCTGCTATAAGAAAATTGTGTCGACGTTTAGGGAATTAATTTTATACACTGCCAGCTTTGGTCGACGTTTTAGGATAAAAAAATTGTCGACAAAACAGGAATAAAATTTTGTCGACGAAATAGGAATTTTAAAGTGTTGACGAAACGAAAAAAAAATTGCGTCGACGAAACAATAAAATCTCTTAATTGGCTTTAATTTGTCGACGAATCGGGACTGAACCCGATGATATGGACTTTTAATCGATAATTTTTTATCAACTATATAGTTATATAAAATATTATCTTAAACTATAAGTTTATTGTCTTATTCAACGTCTCTCTAAAACTAGAGAATCATTGTACAGTAAAATGTTGAAATATATGTAAAATTCAAATTATAATGTTTGGGTTAAAAGAAAAGTTCAATTCAATCGTTATTCATTCTGAGAAGGAAAAAAAAGAGGTAAATAAACGATCGAATTTTTATGATAGACACTCAAGTTTGTTTGTATTTGTGTTCAAACAGAGTATATCACTGTGTGTGTATGTGTATTTACAAAAACCAATGGTATCAAGCATTGGGCAGAGTTGTGTATGTGTGTGTGTCTGTGTGTCAATCATTATATTCTATACAAAAAATATGTTTATTATAAAATAAAGAAAAAGTAGTATTTAATTTTAAAATCTACGCATTAATAAAGAAGACAAGCATACCTTATAATCTGGCGTACCCTAGAAAAAGAGAGCATTTACTTTGCTATTAGGTTTTTCTTTTTTTTTTTAAATTAGAAATAAATAATATGAACAGAAATAATAACACCATAAAATACAAAATAATTTTATTTACTAAGCATATAGATGAACAAATCGATTGTTACTTTATTAAATAACTAAAAAATTTTATAAATTTAAAATCTCGAGTTTGTTGTAACAAAAAAAAATGGATAAAAAGAAGAGAATTATGATTTATTTTGCATATCAGAATTTTTTGGAAATTTAAATATAAAATGATAACTTTTCTTTTATAGTTTCATAATTTAAACTCAATTTTGAATATATCCAAAGAGTAAGTACTGAGACCTGAGCATTTCAAACATATTCTTAGTAAAGAATACATCAGAATTGCTTTGGGAATCTTTGGTTACAAAGTAAAAAAAGATTTGTTCATTCTTACATTTGTGTTTTACTAATAAATTAGAAATTTTCATTCTTTCAACCGTAATAACGAAAAAACGAGCAAAAATTTTTAGTTAAATTTTTTTTTATTTTTCATTTTTTTCATATACCGTACCGTTGATAACAGATGAAGGGGCTAAATTTGGTAGAAAGATAAATAAGAGAAAAGGTAGAAAAGAACAGAGAAAAGAAGAGTAGCTGCTGTTGTTACTATTGTTAAATGAATTATAGCCTACACTTATGCCACATGTGGACTAATACCAGAACCTGAAAACAAAAAAAACAAAACAAAAAATAATAGAATGGATAAATTTACAAATAATCATTTGTTATATTGTCAACAATGATCAATAATCTACCTGATACATGGCACTTCGACGGATCATCGATTGGATGGATCCACTTTTACAATGAATGGTGAATTGTTAACGGGTATTCCACCATAATTAACATTAACTGTATAAAGGCCAACATCCTCAAGGCGATAATGGACGTTGTAGGTACCATCTTTATTATCATTTATTTTATTTGGAACAATCAAACCTTCAAAATTCTAAAATATACAAAACAAAATAGACATACTTTCTATGATTAAAAATATTGTTGAAAAAATATTTAATTTTAAATCATTGTTAGAAGAACAATATGTTCATATCAACAATGTAGAGAGAGAAAATCTATGATAGAACTCAAATAACTGTAACTTATGAATAATAAATACATACTGTTATGATCTGCCATTCCTGGCAGCTCATAAGACTATGTTCTCTTTTTCTTTTCCTTTCTTTCTGTTCATTTCGTTCGTGACTCATTGTGTTCTTGTACTATCCTTACGTAATCCTCTTCTTGCGCAACACTTGTTTCATCCTTTCTTTTCTGTTTTGCAGTTGTTTTCCAAATTCTTTCTGTTCTTGGGCAACTCCTGCACAACTGTTGCTTCTTTCTTGTACTATATATAGCCGTTCACGTTATGGAAATAAAGATGAGAAGTGAGTGAGTAGAACCTCACACATACTTTGATTAGAATATCAAGATGTTCAAAACCAGCTTCTCTTGTATCGACACGAAAATTGGTTGGTAAAGATGCTGGTACACCACTTCGAATACCTGGACCGTCAACAATAACTTTATGTGGTTCAAAATGTGGAAATACTTGAACATTAAATGGGCTAAAAAGTAAATTTTTAATTGTAAAAATGACATCTTCTATTGTTATCACAAGCAAACCTTTTTGCTATTGGATAATCACTCCATGCTATATCAACACGATGTAGTCCTTCTGATGATGGTGTAAATTCAGCTACATAAATACCTTCACCACGAGATCTAATATTTGCAGGTTTACGACGATCTTTTAAGAAAAGAAAAAAGTATAAATTAAAAACATATTTAGACAATATATAAAAATAATCATCAAAATATGCCACTTACTTATTCACTGTATGTAACAAACACGTTCTAATACCGCAAAAGGCGGTATTTCTTTTATCAATGAGTTAAATTAAAATCAGATGTAAGAGAAAGAGAAAAAAAACTCGATGTTATTGATAAAGAAAAAACACCAAATCAAACTATGAGCCTAAATATAGTCTGTGTATATGTGTATTACTCTTAGCAATTTTTCATTTTTCCTCTTTTCTCTTAAAAGGGTATCAGATTTATGTAGGTATTGCAAGGGGTAAGAAGCATACTTCTGTACTTCTCAGTACTTCTCCGTACTTCTTGATACTTCTTCGTACTTTTTTGTACTTCTCCGTACTTCTGAAGTACGAAGTACGAAAAGGGGAAAAGCGTATTTCGCACTTCGTAATTCAGAAGTACGGAGAAGTACAAAAAAGTACGAAGAAGTACTAAGAAGTATCAAGAAGTACGGAGAAAAAAGTACCGAGAAGTACAGAAGTATGCTTTTCCCCCCTTGAGGTATTGGCTTTATGCTTATCGGTGTTTAAAAAATGAAAAGTAACAAAATGAAGATTTGTTCAACATTAAAAGGAATATGCAGAGAAAATTAACTCTCTTTCTCATCCATCCGATAATTCATTGCACGCGAGATATATGAAACTGACAAAAACAACATTCAGAACATTTAAAAAATATCTTTTTTGTGGGCCTTTTTTATCTTATTCGAGAATAGGCGAAGGTTGAGAACTTATGAATCAAGTATGCTCTTGTTGTTATTCTTCATTGCTATATCTCATATAATTGATGTATATTATTACAGAAAGTCATCAGTTTTTTGTTAGTGGTTGACTAAGTATTACATTCTTTTTTCATATTTTTCTGAGTATAATCGTCTGTTCTTAGAATTAATTCTACTCATAAAAAATGTGAACATTTTCTCAAACGCTACATAGTACATCTCTAACTTAAAGATATCCAGGAATTGAATAGAGTACTCAATCAATAAAGATTAGATCTTTCTTCATCCGATCAAGTTGGCTCTTTCGCTTTTAAGAGTACTCACCAAAAGGATAACTAATAAAAACCTAAATTTTTCATTTTTAAAAATCCTATCATTCAGAAAGGAAACAACATTTTTAAAAAAAGAAAAAGAACTCACCTCTGAAATAGAGTCTAAAGTATCTCGAATCAGATTTGGAATCAGAAGTAAATTTGAATCAAATCGGATGCGTTTTTCGAGAGATAATGGATGGGAATGAAAAACCGAGTTATCTCAAAATTCGGAGAAGGATATGACACATAAAGCGTTGAAACAGAAAAGAAAGGACTTTTTCATCTATCCTGAAAATATCAATTCTTTATTATTTTTGGCAACGATTTTATGAAAAGCGAAGGAGTATTCTAAAGTCCAATAATAAAGGTTTGTTTTTATCTAAAAATAATGCAAGAAAGATGTTATCTTTCTAAATATTTTAACTTACCAACTTACCGATATACACACCCTAGTGAAACTTCTTGTACCCAAGATCTTGGGTTAAGAAATTTCAGGATCTTGAGTGAAGCCACTCAAGATGTTGCAAGAGCTTGAGTGACAAATTTTCTTTACATTTTGTTTTTATTTATCACAGTCGTAGCCAGCGAATATACGACCATATAGAGTCATACATTCTTTCTTAAACAACTATGGTCAAGAAGGAAAAAAATTCTAAGTTATTCTAAGTGTGAAAATATTCGCACTTATATTTGCACAAGAATGTAAAACAAAACGATGATTCAAGAATTTTCAAGGTCTTGGTACAAGAAGTCAAGAAATTACAAGATGTTCAAGATCTTGACTTCTTATATTTTCCTACCAAGATCTTGAATCAAGATCTTACTGAAAAAATTCAAGAAGTCAAGATCTTGGTTACAAGAAGTTTCACTAGGGGCATGCATTATGTATGTTTTTATAACTCCATCTATATATAAATAGCAATTGTTCGAATTTTATAGACATGGTCATATCCAAATAAAATTTAATATAACGTATTGATAAATCACCTATGGCTCATAGATATTTTAAATAAGCGATTATTTTAAGTTTAAATATATGCAACAGTTTTCTCTCGTTTTATTTTTTTTCTTCTTCTATCTACTACCTAAAGCATGTTTGTTCTTTATTTTGCTTAACCTACCGTGAATATCTGTTATGTCAACAGATGGAATTCCAGATCCTGCAAATTGTCCATCAATCAATATTTCTTGTTGTACGTTAGCTCGCATCGTTTGAGACATTTTAACATAAACTTTATTTGAGTCTAACATGAAATGGAGAGCCTAAAATAATTATTTTTCTCTATCTGTAAATAGAAATAAATTCTAATCATAGACAAGCAAAGCAATTGTTCGAATTTTATATAATAGAAAAATAACCGAAGTTAATGTTAATTTACCTTAAACTTTTTACCGTATGTGTCATTCATGAAGAGAATTGCATAAAACATCTATCTGTCCACAACTGCAAGCGTGATCTTTTTAAAAAATTTTTTTCGAATTCGCCCGATCAGATCATGTCGGATCCTTTTAATTCCTGTGATTTTCGAAGATCGCGCGTCCGACTGGAATCTACCCAATTCTTTCACGTTCTGATAGGAGGTTCTGTTACTTTCCGAAAATCGGAAACGAAAATTATATAGATATATCTCTCTGTTGACATTTGCTTCACATATGTCACATTTTTTATCACAGAAACGAGAAAAGAGACCAGTTATTCAACAAGATATGTTTACACTTTCAGACTACTCTACCACTCATTATTAAATACATCAGACTGTTTCTTCTTCTTTGTTCCGCCATTTTATCAGTTGAAAAACAAAACGCGAGAATATAACTGTAATCTTTTCTGTGAAGAAATATGTAACTCATGTTCTATTTTCACTCTAAACGAGCCGGAGTTTACTACGCTTCGATCTATTGCAAAAAAGTCAAAATACTTTAATCTGCTTCAATCTACTTCACGCTACTTAACAATGTACTTCTGTAGCTCTCAGTACGTAGCGTCTAACTTCGAAACGATAGAAAGGAAGAATGCTTCTGCGGCTTGTCTAGTATTATCAAGCCCTCGTTTTTCCGAGGTACTACGTCCGCTCGAGCTGAAACGTTTTTTACTGAACAGCCACTAGGCATTGTTTGTGGTACCTATTTTGTTTGTTTCAAAAAATATTGTTCTCTTCAAATAAAAGCGGAAAAATAGTGAGAGCCCTAAAAAGCGCTTACTTTTCCACTAGGATAAATTTTGTAAAATCTGCCAGAAATCAGCGAAGCAATATTTTCGGAAACAAAAAGGAACCGGCACCCTGAACAGTGTTGAGTACCTGTGAAAAAAGTTTCAGCTCAATCTGTCTTCGCGCGTCGGAGAAACGGCGGCGATTCAGTACTTTTTTTGTGAAAAAATTGATTTTGAGGCAAAACGGAAAAGCGTCGTGTTTTCGATATTTCGGATTTTTTATTTTTCTACGTCTAGTTATCTACTATTGCATTTTCAGAGCTATTAAGCAGATACGTCGTTGACCCACACAACACATTGGACGACGAAATCGCTTTTTGGTAGAGATAATTTGCTACACCAAAGAGCTCAGGAACGTGATTTTTTAGATAGGGGTAGTCGATCTTTTTCAGGATCAAAATAACAATGAAAACTTTTCATTCAGATAGCATTCGATAGAGGACACTTTGATATCTTTCTACAGACAATAAAATCGAAATCGAAAAAAATGAATTTCGGGGTCGGGAAAGGGTGGCTGCCTTTAAAAAACTGGTACCGTAACAGCGAGTTTCGTTCGGAAAACTGCTTCTTTTTCTCTCAGACAAGATCAATGGAATAGTGGAATGGACTTCGGATTCGAATTCCACGATCTGATTACCTTTAATCAAGTTTGATACAACTCACGTGGTGAAAACGTGGCTGTTTTCTGATTGGAACAGCAATGGAGAAAAGAGCACAGGGATGAAAGTGTCCTAGAGAACCGTACTACTAATGATTCTGTCTGTGACAGTGCACCATATGAGAGGATTATAAACGAAGTATCTTTAAACTATTGAAATGAACTTCGAGTTTCTTGAGAAGGACTCAGAGCTAAGTGGAATGGTGGAGCAGTTAATGTCATTGAGTAACAGACGATGGGTAATCGAATGGACTATCGACACCAGCAATGAACGTGCACACGCGTCATTGTGTAATCTCGTTGGTGAAGCAGACGAGCGCAATCAAATGCTCAGATTATGATTTGTCTATACAAAATAGAGCTTTTATTGGCATACAGCAAACAAATTCTGCATTCGGACTTCGTTTTTGTCCTATCTTCCTGCCCTGTTCGTTTTAAGCCGAAAGGATATTGCTTTGTTCCCGAGATATAGCCATACTGCTGGGGCAAATTGTGCCTATTTTAGCAGTATACGACCGTATTTAGTCAATAACTTGAGATGGTTTGAAGTGTTGAGGTAGATTTGTCTACGGGTAGTAGAGTAACGCTAGACATTATGGTTGGAATATATAGTGGCGAAAATATCGTAGTCTCAGAAGTGCGCATATATATGTTACCTGCTGGCAGATGAAATATGCGATACAAGTATCAAATTGTCCTACATGCATATTTCAAATGGTTGGGACTGAAGAAGCTTAGTGGGCCGATTTCCATAGCTTATGTGGTCCCGTCGTTTACATAATGGAAGTAGTGCACACTGTGCACTGCACAGAAGAACCGCATATCAAGCTTGCCAGCTATTTTCAGCTCGTTACTTTCCACGTGCAAACGTGAGAAAAAGCAGTGTATATATACTTAGGGCATACCAAAAGTATTGGCAGTGGTATTTTTATCCCTTATAGAAAGGTTAAAGAAACTTTCTTTTTATATAGTCTGATAGAGAAAAGAATGTTCTATTTTTCTATGCTATTTGATCATACTTCAACTAATATCATAATAATA